AGTTGAGCCACAACTCCACTTCTGACTTTTTTTTGATAGTTTATTGGAGATAAGAGTCTCAGGGAAAGTTTGGGTTGGCTTTGAACCATGATCCTCAGATCTTAGCCTCCTGAGTAGCTAGGATTACAGGCATGAACCAGTGGTGTGTGGCAGATTTTCTTTTTTTCTAAACTTCTACGGCACTTAGCCTGAGGTACACAATTTAGCACTGAATTAAAAGTTGTCTTTTATTCGTAGTCTTAGTGAAGCTAAAGCTTCTTGCGTGTGTGTGTGTGTGTGTGTGTGTGTGTGTGTGTGTGTGTGTGTGTGTGTGTGTGTATTCCAGCTAGGCTCTAGTGATTCATGCCTGTCATTCTAAGGTCTCAGGACCCTGAGATCTGAATATTAACGTTCAAAGCCATCCTAGACAGGAAAGTCCATGAAACTTTTATTTTCAATTAACCATCAAAAAAATCCAGAGTGGTGCTGTGGCTCAAAGTGGTAAAGCACTAGCTTTGAGCAAAAGAGCCTGGGGACAGTGTCTACTGAGTTCAAGCCCCAGGACTGACAAAAAAATGTCTTTTCCCCAACATCTTACTGTGAGGATTCAATGAGGAAATGTGTAGAAAAGTGCTTTGAAAAGCCTTTTAGTTCCCACTAGTACATGCATGTTAGGGCCTATTACACTTTGCGCTTGCGCTTGCATGTGTCATAGGAGGAAATAGGATCTGTTGTCCATCACGTGGAGTGGGTCACTTTGTAACCTTGCTATTCTCACTGACACCTAACTACAACTGGGAAGAGAAGAATGGTCCCTTGGCTTTCATTTTCCTAAGAAGATATTACAGCTATGGAAAATACAGAGATGGCAAGATTTTGGAGAGGAAAAATACTAAGTTATTCCTTGCTGCTGTTTTTATTTTTGTGCTGCTCCCGGGGCTTGAACTCAGGGTCTAGGTGCTGTACTTGAGCTTTTGTGCTCAAGACTAGGGTTCTACCACTTGAACCACACCTTCACTTTCAGCCTTTTCGATGGTTAATTGTCAATAAGAGTCTCTCAGACTTTCCTGTCCAGGCTGACTTTGAATCATGATCCTCAAATCTCGTCTCCTAAATAGTTAGATTACAGGCATGAGCCACCAGCAAACATCCCAAGCATGTTCAGTTTAAGGTTATACTTTACAAATGGAAAAGATGGCAGAGACATTTATAGGCCCTGCTTAACTCAAGTTCATGGAACACATGTCCCCAAGGTTAAAGTGGCAATAGGGCAGACAGAACACTATTGAGCTTGCTCAGTTTAGCATTATAAAGATGGTAGAAAAGAATAACTCTGGGCATGAAAAAAAGGAAAAGACACTTAAAAAATACTTTCTGTGCCAGTCCTGGACCTTAAAGTCAGGGCCTACGCACTGTCCCTGATCTTTTGTGATAAAGGCTAGTGCTGTGCCACTTAAGCTATAGCTCTACTTCTGGCTTTTTGGTAGTTAATTGGAGATAAGTGTGTCATGGATTTTCCTGCCCAGGTAGGCTTTGAACCATGGTCTGGAGTAGCAAGGATTATAGGTGTGCTGTGCTAAATACTTTTCTTAGCATAAATCACTTGTATAAAGGATTTTCATTGTGATTTTATGACTGTCACACAATGTACTTGGGTCAAACTCAACCTCTCCATTTCACCCCGTACTAACCCTTTGGAAAGGACACTCTTAATGTTCATTAATCAAGGATTTTTCCCACAAAGGTGCCTGTATTACTTAGTAGCTAATACTTCTGGAACATATCCTGTCTTCTATTTCATTCCTTCAGAGTCAAAAAGTAAAACATTACTCTGGCCAAGATTGAAGTTGACATTATTATTATTTTTTTTGTCAGTCATGGGGCTTGAACTCTGGGCTTGGATGCTGTCCCTCAGCTCTTCAGCTCAAGGCTAGCACTCTACCACTTAAGCCACAGGACCACTTCTGTTTTTCTGGTGGTTTGTTGGAGATAAGAGTCTCATGAAATTTCCTGCCCCAACTGGCTTTCAACCTGGATCCTCAGGTTTCAGCCTCCTGAGTAGCTGGGATTACAGGCATGAGCCACTGGTGCCCGGCAATTTTTTTCTAATGTATTTCTTCCCTTTTCCTTTTTGTCTTTATCATCTCATGATTTTCCCTCTTCATTTTTCCCTTGGTTGACCATAATACCAAAGTATTGTTATCATTAGCAAATGTATTTTCTAAGATGCCTTTGCTTTTTACTTTTAATTAAAGTAAAACTATTTGGATTGCAAGTTTTCTTTTTGTTGTTGTTGTTTGCTATTTTTTTTTTTTTTTTGTCTGTCGTGGGGCTTGAACTCTGGGCTTGGGTGCTGTCCCTGCACTCTTCAGCTCAAGGTGAGTGCTCTACCGCTTGAGCCACAGTGTCACTTCTGGTTTTCTGGTGGTTTATTGGAGATAAGAGTCTCACGGATTTTCCTGCCTGGTTTGGCTTTGAACCGTGATCCTCAGATCTCGGCCTCCTCAGTAGCTAGGATTACAGGCGTGAGCCACCGGTGCCTGGCTTGTTGTTTGCTTTTTGAGACAGGGTCTCCATATGTAGCCCATACTAGTCTGAAACTCCCATTCCTCCTGTGTCAGCCATGTGCTGGGATTACGGGCATGCACCCCCATTCCTGGCTGTTGTCAAAGTTAAATACATATCTATAAATCTATTTTTTATTAAAGCAAGTTCTAATGTGTATGTTTTAACCTTGGAACAACTTTTGTCCTCTTTGATTTATTGCTTCCCAGAAAGGCTTGATTAATGTATTTTGGCAATGCCTCCTAGGGACAATGGCATTTAAAAAGAGAATTTTTGAAAGGGAGATGCACATATGCAGTTATGTTGCTGGAATTTCCAGCATCATTTGTCTTCCTGTGGCTTTTCCCCAGACTTTTCCTTAAAAATTGTTAGAGCATAGCCAATGACAAGCAAGCTCATTTGAATATAATAATGTTATAATTTTATTGTAGCTCTGTTCACAGTAGTCACACTGGGATCAGTTAAAATGTGCAAAAACTTATGAATTGGATATATATATATATATATATATATATATATATACTTTCATGGAATATTATTGAGGCAATAAAGAAGAATGAAATGACAATTTGAAGGAAAATAGATGGAACTGGAGATCACCATGTGCAGTGGAGGTAAGCCAAATTCAAAATGCAAATACATGAATAAATAGATGCTCGACATCCCTGACCATAAAGAAAATGCAAATCATTCATCTCACTCCAATCTTCATCTCACGACCATCTTCAAGACTATCAACAAGTGCTGGAGAGGATTCAGGGGAAAGAGGACTCATTCACTGTAGTTTAACCACTGTGGAAGGCAATTTGAAGATTCCTAAAAAACTAAAAATAGAACTAGCATTTAATCCTCAAATACCATTCATGGAAATATCTCTGAAAGACTTTGAGTCAGGATATAATAGAAGCACTTATACACCCATGTTCATTGCGGCACTATTCACAATAGCCAAGTTATAGAACTAGCCCAGATGTGTAACAAGTAATGAGCGAACTAAGACACGTAGTATATATACATGGAGTATTATTCAGCCATATAGAATAAATGAAATTGTGTTGCCTGCAGGTACATGGATGGATGTGAAGTTCATCATGTGAAGTGAAGTCAGATATAAGAGGACAATGGTTGCATGTTTTCTGTCATATGTGGATGGCAGACCTAAAAAGTAAGCATAAATGTAAGCATAGAAGACTCTGACCAGATGAGAAGGAGAGTAGAGGGAGAGAGACTATTAGAAGGTAAGCAGGGGCTGGGAAGGTGGCTCAGTGGTAGAGCTCTTGCCTTGCATGCCTGAGACCCTGGGTTCGATTCCTCAGCACCACATAAGCAAAAAGAAAAAAGCCGGAAGTGGCGCTGTGGCTCAAGTGGTAGAGTGCTAGCCTTGAGCTGAAGAGCTGAGGGACAGCGCCCAGGCCCAGAGTTCAGGCCCCACGACTGGACCCCCCTAAAAAAAGAAAAGAAAAGAAGGTAAACAATACTGAAACGCACTGAATTTTGAATGACAAAGTCACACTAACTTGTCTGGGCTTGCCTTGAACCCATTCTGCCTCTTTTTTTTGCTTGTTTTTATTTTGTTGGTTGTGGGGCTTGAACTCTGGGCCAGAGCGCTATCCCTCAGCTCTTCAGCTCAAGGCAAGTGCTCTGCCACTTGAGCCACAGCACCACTTCCAGTTTTCTGGTAGTTCATTGGAGATAAGAGTCTCAAGGACTCTCCTGCTGGGGCTGGCTTTGAACCGTGATCCTTAGATCTCAGCCTCCTAAGTAGCTAGGATTACAGGCGTGAGCCAGTGGCACCCTACTCTAGATTTGAGTTATGTCAGAGAAAGTATGTGGCCTAACCACATCCTCCTTAAAGCTTTGGGGGAGACTCTGGGACTCCATTGATATAATTATCTTTGTTCTCCAGCTTGTTAGGACACAACTACCAACAGAGGGAGGAAACCTAACTTCCCCTGCCTTGCTTTTTCTGGAAAGCGCATAGCGCGTAGCAAGGTGTGGTAAGCTCAAGGCACCTGCTCCAGTCTCACAGGGAGAAAATATCACCATTTTCCCCACCCTGTGAGAAGCATTATTCTTCCAGGTAGGTCTAGAAGTTCCCTTCCTGGTCAGGGCGGAGAGCTAAAGATGTCCCTCGGGGGTAAAGTGGGCTTGGGGTGGCACCAGCCCTTGCCCTTCCAAACCTGGCCCTGCCAAGCAGGAGACAAGACTGTGGGCAGGTGGTGCGTGGAGTTACCTGGAGAGGGGCGGGGCGGGGAGAGGCAGGCGCGTGGAGGGCGGGGCCTTGGTGGGATTCTAGGTTGTGATTGGTCTTTGCCGCGCCTGTCTCCATGTGCCGCGCAGCGGAGGCACAACATTCAAGCCCGGGGGGCGGGGCTGCTGCGCACCGGGAGGAAGCCGCCTCGCGGCAGCTGCGGGGCGTGGAGGCGGTGACGGCTCAGGCCCAGGCGGTGGCGGTGATTGTGACAGAGGCGGTGGCACCTTCGCTGGGGACAGTGCTTCAGCAGGACTCCTTGGAAAGCCCATGGAGGCGGCGGCGGGCGGAGGCTGTGGTTCTGGGCCGCCCTTGCTGCTGAGCGAAGGCGAGCAGCAATGTTACTCCGAGCTGTTCGCGCGCTGCACGGGCGTCGCTAGTGGGGGCGCACTCCCTGGGCCCCCTGAGGCCGCCAGGGTCGCCCCTGGAGCTGCCAGTGCGGCCACTGGTCCGGTGGCCGATCTGTTCCGGGCGTCACAGTTGCCCTCTGAGACACTGCACCAGGTATGTGCCTGTGTTCCCAGTTCCTGCAGATCTGTGGGGATTGGGTGTGTGTGTGGGGGGGGGGGGGGGGGGGGAGGACATATGGTGTGAATGGGGTGACAGGACGGCCTCCAGGGATCTGGAGGCCACAGTCAGGTCTTGGGGATGGCGGCGACGCCCTAGTCCCTGGGGACACGAGCCTCCACAGCTGAGCTCTTCAACCAGTGCCGGGTGAGCTCTTGTCTTTGCTCTCCAGAAACTCACACTCCTTTCCCTCCCGTCCCCCCCCCCCCCCCGCGACCATTTCTGGGGTTCTGCAGCCACCCAAACTCAAAGTTTGCTCTGTTCTGCAAGTGATGTTTGTCTTGGCTGGTGTCTGATTTAACCTCTGTTCCCGGCTTCTGCCCCTCCCTCGGTTTGAACAAATTGAAGTGTGTGTGTTGTGTGTTTTTGTGTGTCCGCATGTTTGTGTGTGTATGTATGCCCTGAGCTACATGTTATCTTCCATGTTTTGTGATAAATGCGTATCTACTATATATATTATATATATTGGCTCACTTGTATTTCTGATTATTAGCATTGAACTGGAACCCTTGCCTGGACAACTTGCAGAGCAAAAACTCAGGACATAGGTCAAGCCAAAGCCAAGTTCCCCATTTGGGGCTAGGAGTGGACCCCGGTGTCTATCAAAGGAGATAGCTGTTGTTTTTTATTCATTTGACCATTACTTGAACTTGACCTAGAGTTGAAAAATCCGGGGCATCATAGCTACTTCTTTTTGTCTGTTCCATACCTGGAAAAAGAGGAGGTGGTGATCCACAGCTGGTGGTGTTTTTTGTTTTGTTCCTTAAAGCTTGGAGAAACCTTTTCTCACTTGATGTCATGGCACTAAATGATGATAAGATTAATAATAGCAGGTCTAAAATATGGAAGGAAGCTTTTCTCTTAAAAGCAGTAAGATGAAAGTTTCAATGCCAGTGGAAGTTAAAGTATTAGTGACATCTTAAAAATCTACTTTCAAAGGAGTATTGAGGGTTTTACGGTTCACTTGCACTACCATTGTGTTTGTAATTTTTCTTTTGTTGCCCCAGACTGTGTTTTGTACAGCCAGAGTGTGCATATGCCCATGTGTTTATGAGCATAGCTTTAGCTACTCTGTCATTTGTTTCACCTCTTCAAATTTAAGATTTCTGAAAATATAATTAGTATTCATTGAATTCAGCATGGATGTTTGTCTCCAAAGAAGTCCCATGATCATGCAGACAGTTCTGTCACTGCAGTTAAGCAGTTCAGGTGGACCAGATAAAAAGGGAGTCCATTTCCAAAACACAAACCATGGCTATTAAATGACGCCCTCAGAATATTTCCAAGCATTATAAATTTATTGAAGTGACTGAGACTACCCAGCAGGTAGGTTAGGTCTGGGCACTGTTGGGGCTTTTTTTGTTGTTGTTGTTGGTTGTGGGGCTTGTACTCTGGGCCTGGGCGCTGTCCCTCAGCTCTTCAGCTCAAGGCTAGAGCTCTACCACTTGAGCCACAGCTCAAATGGTTTATTGGAGATAGGAGTCTCACGGTCTTTCCTGCCCGGGATGAGTTTGAACCATGATCCTCAGCTCTCAGCCTCCTGAGTAGCTAGGATTCCAGGCGTGAGCCAACAGTGTCCTGCTAGGGCATATTTTGTTGTTAGTAATGCCTCAAGTGTGATAAGAGGTGGTGGGCACACTAGCTAATATCTACAGGATTTGGGGAGGGGCTCTCCTTGAGTTATAACCCATGCTAGATTAGCTCCTTGTGTCCTTGGTAAATCTAAGAAAAACAAAATTGAAATATTCTGTAGTCTAAAAAAATAAAGAACCCACAGTGCCTTTGTACAGATGACATAATATTCTCCAGTTGAATATTGCATGCAAAAGGCTGCTTCGGTTGCTTGCAAAGGGAACTTTCCTAGAGGATTGCTTAGAGTGAATATCTCAGAGCTTGCAGCCAGAGTACAGTGAAGCAAAACTCTTTAGCCTAACAAAATTAAAATAACCCAATCTTCTTGGTACAGATGAAAATAAAAATTAAAGGCATACCAGACAGGGAAAGGCAATTTTAAGGCATTCAAAGTCAGTAACTGGCAGTCACCTAGTTCTTCTTTTTGCCTGTCCTAGGGCTTGAGCTCATGGCCTGGGCTCTGTTCCTGAGAAATTTTGTTCAACACTGGGGCTTTGCCACTTGAGCCACAGCTCCACTTCTTGCTTTTTAGTGGTTAATTGAAGATAAGAGTCTCATAGGCTTTCCTGCCCTGGCTGGCTTCGAACTGCAATTTTCAGATCTCAGCCTCTAGGATTTGTACAGGCATGAGCAATCTGTGCTCAACCCAGCCACCTAATTTTTATTCGTTACTTTGGTGATGGTGCGGCTGGTGTTGTGTATGTTTTGTCCACCTTAATTTGCATGATTCCATCAGAGTATTAGTCTTTAAAACAAGTATAGAAAAATGCTCTCTTACCTGGTTAAACAGGAACTTGTAAGTTTAGATTTAAGTGGCTCAACAGGTATAACTGCTCAAATCATGGAGACATTAACCAACATTGGTGGTTTCTATGGTAACAGTAAGATTCCCCGCCCCCCCCCCCCCCCCCCCCCCCCCCCCCGTCTTAATAAACAAGATTACAATAATGTACCAGGAAAGGTGAGATTCTTAAAATCTTACCAGAGTAAATGTCCTAGAGAGTGAACAAGGGTGAACATGGTTGAAGTATCATATGCATGTATGTAAGTAGAACCAAGATCTGTGTTTGTCTTATGATCTTAACTTTCTTTTTTTAAAAATTGTTTTATTGTAAAGATATTGTACAAAGGGGTTACAGTTACATAAATAAGGTAATGAGTACATTTCCTATCAAGCATTGTTACCCCTGCCCTGGTTTTTCCCCTACGATTATCCCTTCCCTCCCTAACTCCCCGCCCCCCAAGTTGTAAAGTTTGTTTTCAACATAGTGTCTTGTACGTGTCATTGTTATAATGGTCAACTTGTATCCTTGTTTGAGCATTTTGATATTTCCCTTCCCCTCCCCAAATGATCTGTGTTTTGAGAAAAGGGGGGGAATGAGGTGAGTGATGGAGTGGATGAGTTTGATCAGGGTACTTTGTATTCATATATGGAAATATCACAATGAAAACTTCCTTATACAACTAATAGGTGGTAATAAAAGTCTTTAAAATACTTTTAAACATACTTAAAAAAATAAAATACTTTTAAATCTTCTTATGGCTAAAATAAACCAGAATATCTGTTTTTTTTTGGGGGGGGGTCCAGTCATGGGGCCTGAACTCTGGGACTGGGCACTGTCCCTCAGCAATTCAGCTCAAGGCTAGCACTCTACTACTTGAGCCACAGCGCTATTTCTGGCTTTTTTCTTTTTTTGCTTATGTGGTGCTGAGAAATCGAACCCAGAGTCTCAGGCATGCAAGGCAAGCACTCTACCAGGGAGCCACCTTCCCAGCCCCCAGAATATCTGTTACAGAAGTGAACGTATGAAATTAGCTTAGAGTTTTAAACTTTTTAATATTATTTGTTATAGAAATGAACCTACAAAATTATCTTAGGGTTTTTTTTTTTTTTTTTGTCCATTGTGGAGCTTGAACTCTGGGCCTGGGCTCTGTCCCTCAGCTCTTCCGCTCAAGTTCTACCACTTGAGCTACAGCACCACTTCCAGTTTTCTGTTGGTTTATTGGAGATAAGAGTCTCATGGACCATGGACTTTCCTGCTCAGGCTGGCTTTGAACTGCAATCCTCAGATTTCAGCCTCCTGAGTAGCTAGGATTACAAGCGTGAGCCACAGGTGCCCAGCTATCTTAGTGTTTTTCTCCAGTTGATATATAATTATTTATATACCCTTATAAGTTATTAATATAGTCTCAACATAGGATAAGTATTCCATCGTGGGGCTGTTGGTAGAACCTGGAGGTTGAGCTTAGTGGGAGGCCCTTATGTCATTGAGAGTTTGGACTTGAAGGGTATTGTAAGACTTAACCTCTTCCATCTCTTTTGCTTCCTGGCTGTGAGGTGGTGTCTCTGCTCTCTCAAGTGCTCTCTACCATTGCCATCTGGCATGTCCCTTCAAGGCCCAAAGCAATGAGATCAGTGGGTCATAGACCGGTACCTCTAAGACAAGCATATCTAGTATTCTGTTATACCGACAACAGGTTAACACAACACATATACATGCAGATGCACACATTTATATATAAGATTTTTCTTGGTGCTGGGGATTCAACCCTAAGACTTATACTAAGCAAGCATTCTACCACTGACTCTACATACAATTTCATACAATGTTTTCTCAGAGTAGTTTTAGAATCAGGGGAGCATCGAGGAGAGAATGCAGGGGGTTTCTATTTATCCTGTACTACCCACATGCATAGTCTCCCCTACCATCAATATCTGGCACCAGAGAGGTATGTTTGCTAGTGTTGATGAACCTACATTGACAACATCATTCTTGCCAGAGACCAGAATTTCCATTAGAAATCACTTTCGTTGTTGTTTTACTCTATGGGCTTGGATGAATGTATGCCATATCTCCAGCATTGTAGTATCATACAAAATAACTTTCCTGCTTTAACAATCCCATGTTCCAGTGAGACATCCTTCCCTTCCTGCAAACCACTGATATTTTTACTGTCTCCAGAGATTTGCCTTTTAAAGAATGTTATATATTTGGCATTATCCAGTATATTGCCTTTTTCAATAGGCTCCTTTCACTTAGAAATAGGCATTTAGGAATCTTTTCATAGTTTGAGGCTCATTTCTTTTTAGAACTGAGTCCATTGTCTGGTTGTATTCCTTTATTCATTTCCCTGCTGAAGGAAATCTTGGTTGCTTCTAAGTTTTTGACAGTTGTGGATATTGCTGTTGTAGACATCTGTGTGCAGCTTTGTCCACACATTTGGAGTCATGGGGTAAATAGCAAGGGGTATATTGCTAGATGCTATGGTAACAGCAGATCTAATTTTCAGTCTTCTAAAATGTC